CTGTAATATCTTTAGCGAACAGATCAGCAAATTCTTCTAACAAGATTTTGAATGCTTGTCCTTGTTCTTTTGTAAGTGGTCCTACATTTACAGTGTCTGTTTTCTCTAATATATATTTCTTATAAGGAATTAAAGTGTCTATAGTATATACAAAATTGTGTTTAAGAGCATTAGTTTGCAAAGCCTGTTGCAAAGCTTCTTTTTCTGTTGGTAATTTATCTAATTCTTCAGGTAGTTTTTCATCTTGCCTAGGATAGCTCAAAAATTTTGCTGTGTGAAGGCTATATGAGTATAGTAATCAGCTTATTCTTGGTGATGTTGAATTTGTTACTAGAAAAATTCTATCATTCTCTTTCAAGTATTGGACTCTTGCTTCTAATCGGGCAATAACTTGGTCTTTTCTTTATCCTTTTTCTCCTCAAAGATAGTGTTCTCACTTATCTCAAGTTTTTCTACTATAATAGTATTATTATAGTATATTTCTTCTATAGGCTATTCTGTAGTAATAATAGTATCTTAGTGCATTTTTTTTGTAATTGTTTCTTTAATGGGAGAGAGTTTGTTTTTCTTTTGGTAGCATTCATTACAGAGATCTTGATTAGCTTCTAATTCTGTACTTTATTTAGCAAAGAGGCACTCTTGGCAAAGAGCTACTTTTCCTTCAAAATTCTTTCTTAAATTTTCAATTGCTTTGCGGGTATCAAAGTCAGGTTAAGAGATATTAAAGGATTCATTTAGAATTCATTGTAAAGTAGCTTTTTTATCTTCTGTAAGCAATACTTGCTTTGCTCGAAATAGAATAGTAATCTCTTTAGAGGTCTATTTCCAATTATATTTATCATCTTCTTGCTCTTCCATAGCTTCTTCTATGCTTCTATATTCTTCATCAAGTAGAACTTTAACTAGATGGTAAATTTTATCTTGATTTAAATCATACTGATATCTAGCATTTCTGGTAGATTTAGTATAATGTCTAATTCTATTCAAATCTCATAGTTTGGATTATATTGAAGATTTGTAAAGATTTTATAAGCATACATATATTCCAATTCACAGAACCACAATTCTTCTCATATGCTTTCTATATTATGCATTCTTGATCTGGGTTTCTAAATATTACAAAGTTTGCATCGGACAAGAGTTCCTCTACCAAGTTCTATATTGTAATATTCCTAGCTTCTGGGGTCTTCTGGGTCAAGAGCTTCATAATATGTTTTGTAACAAGCAGTACAAGCAAGTTTTTCTTTTAATTTGTATAGTTTGTCAGGTTGTTGAGGGGTGTAGCAATGACAACAATGATAAGTTCTCCTTCTACTATAGTAGGTCATCCTTCTTTCTTCTATTTGGTCTTTGTTACAGCTATATTTGTAAGTTAAATTGTCAAGTTTAAGTTAGGCAAAAGGGCAGTTAATTTCGATATAGCCAAATTCATTACAGCCAT